AACCCGAAAAAATCCAAAGACCTAAACCGCCTAAAACCCTTAAAGAAAGCCCAAAGGCCTAAGAAACTTTACCTGCCCGGAGGCTATTCTGGCTGGCCGAGTCTCTGCCGATCCTCGAGCGACTGGGTGCTGGGCTCAGGTTTGCAAAGAAGGAACCCGGTTTAGGGTTTAGGGTCAAGGATTAGGGTTTAGGGCCTTAGGGGTCTTAGAGCTTAGAGTTCCGGGTTTAGGGTCAGGGTTTACGGGTGAGCATTCAGGGTTTAGGATTTAGAATTTAGGGTTTATGGTTCAACCCTCCTCCATATAATGGGTCAGGGTGTCAGGGCCAAGTTGAGCAAGGTATGCGTTTGATAAAGCTAAACCCTAGGCCCTATAGGATTTTGGTTTTGAGTTCAGGGGCTTTGGGTTATTCGGTTCGGGGGTTTAGCGCTCGCATTTTCTGGAACTTGGGTTTCGGCTTTTGGGTTCAACGTTTACAAGTACACCCATCAAACACCAACATGAGTACTTCTCTGGCCTTGTCATAAGGGTGCTGCACTACTTTGCGGACCTAAAGCAGGACCCTGATTTAGAGAACTAGAGCCTTTTTGCAGAGCTCTTTTAGGAGACAAAGGCGATCTCTGGGAAGGACTTATGGCCCAAAGGACTTCGGCTTATGGATTTCGGTATTATTCAAGAAGAAGGATTTGGTGCTTGAGGCTTCAGGAAGCTTTTGGTGTTTACAGGGTTTAATGAAGTGGTTCTGCGCGCCTGCCATGGCCAAGGAGGAGCCGGATGAGCAGGCTGAGTCCATCCGAACGGCCAAGATGCCGCGCATCAGCCACGACAACCAGGAGATCTCACGTCCATCCTTCCAGTCGCGACTGACGGAGTGGAGCGATCAATGCCTTAGATTTCAAGCCTCTGGTGAGAAGTGGGTGCCGACGAAGCCATGCTGTCCGGCAAGCCCCTTTTTAGGTTTGGAAGCTTGTCTCTTGCAAGGATGCAAGCAGCAGGCAGCAACAGCATGTGTGCAACTCCTAAGCATAGAGGAGCTGTGTGAGTTGCATCAGTTTTTCTGCAAGAACCCACGGCATGCACTGTTTGAAAGACAGCCCGAGTTCTCTTCGGGATCTAAACCAGGGCCCGATGTGATCTGCATGAAAGTGCGGCCCTGGATGCCGGACCTTCCAACTGAACTTTGGGTTGGCAATGGGTATCTACTCACGGAGGACGGGATGCTTCAGCTCTCGCCCACCGGAGCTGCCTCCGCCATTCGGTGCCGTGAGGTACCCGAGTCTGCGGGCCCCGTCACTGGGTGTGACGAGAAGCCTTCAGAGGCGGTGGTCCAGCGCCCCACCAAGAAAAGAGCCCATGGTGGCAAGGCCAAGAAGCTCCGGCAGAAACCTGTTGGAGCCAAAGCGTCCGGCTCCGCCGTGTCGGGCGTCTCTTATGACAAGCAGTCTCGGAAGTGGCGTGTTCGTAAGTGGGACCCCACCAGCAAGAAACTGGTATTCGGGGGCAGCTTCGCACTGAAGAAGGAGGCCGAGGCCAAGGCCCGGGAGCTGGGCAGCCAGATCAGGCGAAGGCCCAGACTTTCCGGCTCCACTGTGACGGGCGTCTCCTATAACAAACGAGATCAGAGGTGGTACGTTCAATGCTGGGACCCCACCAGCAAGAAACGGGTATTTGGGGGCTACTTCGCGGTGATGGAGGAGGCCGAGGCCAAGGCCCGGGAGCTGGGCAGCAAGATCAGGCGAAGGCCCAGACTTTCCGGCTCCACTGTGACGGGCGTCTCCTATAACAAACGAGATCAGAGGTGGTACGTTCAATGCTGGGACCCCACCAGCAAGAAACAGGTATTCGGGGGCTACTTCGCGGTGATGGAGGAGGCCGAGGCCAAGGCCCGGGAGCTGGCCTTGAAAATTCGGGGTGCAGGCAGTGCAAAAGAGGTTTAGGTGGGAAGGCCGAGAAGAAGGCCGTGGCCGGGCCCTGGCAGAAGAGAAAAAAGGCAAGCTGTGCGCTGGTAAGGGTGGCTACTGGGCTGCTAGCTACATGTATCACAGTACCATCACCTCCACCCGGCACCAGCTCCATCACTGTTACCCAAATATGGCTAAGCCTTGCTCCCCGAATCCCCAAGAAGCCCCCAAACTCTAAACCCGAAACTCCCCCACAAGCACGAGCGGCTTCAAGTTGCTGAGGCTTCGATTCCTCGAAACCGCTTGCAGTGCTGGGCCTCGATACAGTGGGCCGTGTCAGGCCGGGAATCGCGCTGGGGCTGTATAAGGGCTTGTAAGGTTTAGGGCCTAGGGTTTATCGGTTTAGGGATTAGGGTTTGGGGTTTAGGGTTTAGGGTTTAAGTGTGTGTGTGTGGGTGGTCGACCAGGGTGCGCTCGGCCCTGTTACAACACAGTGGCCCCTCCCGCCCGAAGGCTTAAGGGGCCAACTGCGGCCCCCACCCATGCTTGATGCATCACCCAGCTCTTCGCGGGCCCCCCAACCAGAAAGACCAAAATATACTCAATCCGGCAAGTTGGATGGAACACTTGGCAAGACAGACCCGAAGCTCTTCTCCTGGCCCTCGCCAGGGTACTTACTAAGCAAGGGATGCAAGCATGGAGACAGGGCAATCTAGTTAGTCTAGAGTCCACCACACTCACGCACATCACGCACCGTCAGCATGTAAGGGGCCACCTCCGCCAAATGGCACAAGAAGCCATTCCCCTCAAGCTGCACACGCCACATTTCAATCCAATGTGCCCTGGCGTGTGGGTGAGCACCCAAAGCTTTGGGCGCCCCCCTGGACAAAGGGGAGTTTGGGTTCGGCGTTGAGGGACAAGGATCACCCTTAACCCCAAACCTCTGAACCCCACATAATTTAGAGAACCTGCCGCAAAGTTATCTGACGATGTTTGCAGCTTGCAGCAAGACTGCCGACAGTATCAGACACCAAGAAGTACAGTAGTCTAAGATGGTTCATAAACCTGTGCGCTTGCTTGTGCAGCTAGGCTTGATTTTCCGCTGGACGGCGCATGGGATGATTCAGCATGTAATATAACCCTAGGGCTCCAGTTACTTAAATAGTGGGTTACCAACCATATATTATGTACACTAGTAACCTACTATTTAGTATAACTGGAGCCCAAGGGTAACAGTGGCAGAAAGCCGGCCCTGAACCGAAAACCCACCGCCTTGGCCAGACTTGCCATCTCCGCGAAGCAGCGGAGGCTTTGGCTGCCGATGTGAGGAGCTCCATGGTTTTAGAGGCTTTGGGGTTTAGGGTTTAGGGTTTATAGGGTTTAGGGTTTAGGGTTTACCCATAGGCTCCTTAGTAGTTCCTTTCTGGGATTACCTTGTAGGATGCTAAATATGAGCCATAATAAAGAGGAACTACTTAGGAGCTTATGGATAGGGTTTAGTTTGCAGGCTTTAGGGTTTAGGGTTTGAGCCTCGACTCAAACCCGAAACCTACACCCCAAACCCCCCCCTACTCCCTGAACCCTTCCCAGGGCGCTGGTGCCCTGACAATCTTATGAATTCGACCGGATTTCCCTTCCGTGCGACACCCAGGCTAAAGCCTAAAAACCGAAAGATAGGAGCAAGCCCTTACCATCGCCCTTGAGGGGAAAACCGTCTTCCTGTGATGCCGGGTCTCTAAAAGCAGGATCTGACAGATGCCGCTGACATGGAGAGCATCCCAAGCACCCACCCTCAAGCACAGACCCTACCAGGCTGAGTGTTCAGAGAGCACCAAGTATTCAAGAGTACAGTCTTCTGCCTTAGGCTTAAAATTCAGGGAACCTCAGGCTGGAATCGAAACCCTTTAGGGTTTAAGGTTTAGGGTTTAGGGTCCCTAAACCCTAAACGCTGAACCCTGGACTACGGCACTCCAGATGCTGCGGGTTGCCCCATGAGATGCAGGGGGCTCAATTTTCCCCCTGGGACTGCCCTGTAGCTGGTCGGCGAGAACTTGCAAGGTCTTGCTTTGGGTTTTAGTGTCTAGGATTTAGGATTTAGGGTGTAGGGTTTAGGGTTTAGGGTGTAGGATTTAGGTTACGGCTTATACGGTTTCAGGATTATAACTGAGGATGGGCACAACAGCTTCAAGCTCCTACACATCGCAGAGGGGGGTCCACAACGCCGTGGTTTAGCTACGAGACGACCGTCGAGCCACAACCATCTCCCCCGGAAGCGAAACCTGCCGTGGCACTGCTTTACCCATAGGCTTCTTAGTAGTTCCTTTTTGGGATTACCTAATATGAACCATAAAAGAGCAAAAAAGGAACTACTTAGGAGCCTATGGGTAGGAGTTGCTCTGACTAGGTAGTCCTTTGGGACATGTTTACATAATCCCCTTTCGATCCTACTGCCTAAGCTTGAAAGCCATGCTCTTCTGGCAAAAAAGTTCGATGAACTTGTGCCTGTATGTATTTCACGTCAGGTTCGAAGGTAGATCCGAAGCACACCCCCCCAAAACGTGTGCTGCCCCAAGACTTGAAAAGGAAAGCCCTAAGTATTGAAGCCACAGTCCCAATGCCAGAGAATCTACACCTTATCCAAAAACTCGTAATCCCTGCAAGAATCTGACTGTACAACCCTAGACCAAACACCTTCTCCTCAACACATACACACAGACGCACAGACACAGAGAGAGAGAGAGAGAGATATATATATATATATACATGTATTTGTATGTATATATATATATATGCGCACGCACGCATGCGCACGCGCAAACAAACACACACACACACA